CCATTGACATGATCAGAGCAATTCACACCTGCTGTGAGCTATTCTTTCCAGCTCTCTGAAAATTCAGGTGCAAACATCTCTACAGTGTTTCCATGTTTTCCTGGAGTTCTCCTGAAGGTTTTCTTCTCAAACCTACCAGCTAAAGACTGGAGAACAATACGGAGTTCTACCCACATCCCGCGCTTTGGGAACAATGGGCAAATGCAAATCAATGGAATGCTCAATGACAAGGTGTGTGTTGTGACCAGATAGTTAGAAAAAAGAGTGATTTTAGCAGCATAATCCTGTATTGAGTGGAGGGGAGTAAAATGAGTTTCAGGAGGGCTGTAAGAAGAGGGGGCTACTAAAAATAAAAGTGAGTGATCCACTTTTCTGCTGATGTCTGGTTGTTTTCCTATATGTGAGCTGGTTACACTTGAACTATAACTTCTTCCCTAGGATGTTCCTTCAATCTCTTCCTTTGCTCAGTCTCACCCAACCTTCATTCTGCCATGAACCAAACAACTACTCCCCATGCTTTTTACCTTCCATAATTCCTTTTATTGCTGTGTGATAGAGACACTACGGTAATAAACCTCTTAAAAGGAGCAGAGATGTCCACCTGTTGTATTTCCCCTATTGATTTTGTATCGTTTGGATACTAGTACGGAAGTACAGAATAATAATAATAAAACCTCCACACTCTGTCTTCAGTGTGTTTTATACAGCACCTTTTTATGCTGCAAGTGCTTTCCAGAGTAACATAGCACCTGGACAGGTAATTGTAGCTGTCATTGTGCACTCAGCAACGTGAACTCCTAAAAAACCTGGAACAACATTAACATCCCATGTACTCCGAGGAGAAACAGACATAATTCTGCTGTTATCTCCCTGCATTCTGCAGCATTCTAAGAGAAATTGGAAATACTGTGGCATCCTAGGGTGAACTCAAAAAAGCGTTTTGGTTTTATGACTATGGATAATTTATTCAGCACTGTAGACTCTCCATTATTTATTCTGATATTAAACTCTATTTATTTTGTTTTCTCCTCACATTTTCAATTTATAATATGATAAATGTTATCATTAGGATTCAGAATTAACATGCTAGTAATATAAATGGCAAAAGTTCCCACCTTCTCCAAGCTATTCCTTCTAGTTGTCTGCGGACATCAGTGTACTGCTTTACATTTGGGGTCACAGTTTTAAGGTTTCTGTTGGGATCCTGAAGGCAAGAAACCTAATTCTTAAGAAAAAAAATCCGAAGAGATTAATAGATTCCAGGGCCAGAAAAGACCATTGATATCATCTAGTTTGAGCTCCTGTATAAGAAAGGTCATAGACTTGCCCCCAAAATAATTCCTAGAGCATCTTTTAGCAAAATATCCAATCTTTTATTTAAAAATTGCCAGCAATTAATAGAATTTTGCAGAAAATTACATGGCTGCAGAACCATGGAATATACAAGTCCAGGAGTTTCATTCAGATAGGAGGATGGGCAGTATTAGTGAAGACTCAGATAATAAACGATATTCTGTTTTCTCTTTAACTTCTCCCTCTGTCCATACAAAGCAGGAACCTGATTTTCAGCATCCCACCATCGGGTATGTCTACACTACAACGTTAATTCGAACTAACTTAGTTCGAATTAGTTAATTCGAACTAAGCTAATTCGAACTAACGGATCCAGACTAAAAAACTAGTTCGAATTAGCGTTTTGCTAATTCAAACTAGCATGTCCACATTAAGTGGACCCTGAACCGGCTTAAGGATGGCCGGAAGCAGTGCCGGCAGGGCATCAGAGGAGGACTTAGAGCGTGGAGATGCTGTCTCAGGCTAGCCGAGGGCTGTGCTTAAAGGGTCCCGATCCCCACCCCGGACAGACAGTTCTAAGGGGTGCCCCGCTTGCAAAGCAGTCCTGGCTTGGAGTGCCCAGAGTACCCACACTGGGCACATCACAGCACTCGGCCATCAGACCGGCTGCACTTGCCGCAGGCTGCCATCTGGGGAGAGGGGGCAATTGGGAGGCTGCAGGAGAGCTTCCACCCCCAGAAACCCACAGAGCCAGCCCAGTCCTCCCCATCGGGGGCTCATGCCCCATTCCTCCCTCACCTCCTTCCACTTACCCTTCCCTAGCCCCT